TTTAAAAAAAAAAAAAAAAAAAATGACCCACCCCTTGGTCATCTTCCCCGGCGGTCCCCCTCCTTCCGCCCTCTTCCCGACGACTCCCCTACTTTGTTTTCGAAAAACTCTCCACCTCCTTCGTTTTCTTCCCCAGATCTGATGTGAAACGAGAAAGCAAGAAATGCGTTTAGATCTCATAAAAAATTCTCAAATCTGAAACGACTTTGCCAAATTTTCAGATCGGAAATGAACTTGTTCGGCCAAAAAACTTTTACTTCGTTAGAAACTTTGTAAGTTGCAGATCCTTAAAATTGTCTCTAAAAGCTAAAAACCTTTGTAACCCACGAGTAACCTTTATAAGTTATAGATCTCCTTTGCCATCATTCATTTTCTCTCTTCTCACAGCTCGTCGGAAAGTTCTCCATCGCATTCGTCGGAATACAGTAGGCCAGGAGGAATAGAGAAAGGGGGTGAGTAGAGGAGTTGATTATATCGGTGGAGATAGAATGGCGTGAACAATGGAAAATTAAAAGAAATATTTATCGGAAAGTATTTTCGGTAAAAACTATTCATTTTCTAGCAAGAAAGATGAGGAGCTTGTTTTTTGGACCATGTCACGCGCCTGGAAAATGTGAGGAACACTTGCCTTGCCATGTCAGCTTTTTGTGTCTAAATGACACATATGAGATGTGATTGAAGTGTTCAAATGAAACGGACTTAAGATAGAGTGTCTAAGTGAAAAGGGAAGACAAGTTTAATGGTCTGCCGATATATTCTGCCTAACTAATACATACATAATTAATACGTGTATATCTAATACCTGCATAACTCTAACCGGCAACCAAATGACCCCTTAAAACACCCTACTAATATTAGTTAGACAGAATATATATCAACGGTTCAAGTATCATGCTGAACAAATAAACATAAAGTCTTAGATTCAAAACTAAAACGATCTGGTTAGTGCGTGACGATGAAATTAACATCTGAATCTGTAAAATGTAAAAGTGAAGGGTGAGTGTATAGACGTCTTCCCGTAACTGTTAGGATGCGAGTTTTATAAACTAACGCACATGCTTTGGATTTACTTATCTGAACACTGAGAACTGGTAATGATAAGAATACTGTTGACAATTTAATCATACGACAGTTTGGCCGAGTGGTCTAAGGCGCCAGATTTAGGCTCTGGTCCGAAAGGGCGTGGGTTCAAATCCCACAGCTGTCATTTTGTGTTTGGTCTTTTCTTTTTCTGTATCTTGGTGGCAGTACTTTTCAAGAAGTGGACACAGATTATTCTTTTCCTCTCCCAAGTTTTACACCTAAAAACCTTTTATCTATTTATTTTCAAGAAAGGAAAGCTGCATTTTCACTCCTTAATAAATAGTAAAAATTAAAGGTTATGTTAGGTATTTTATCTTTTATATGACAGAATTTTAAGGTATAATAGGGTTGAATTTGCCTTCAAATTAACTGAGAGGTTCCCATCAAAGATGTAATAACCCTTCTTTTTCCTTGCTAATCCCTTAATGCAAGTAGGAAGCATAATGAGAAATGGAAGCACAGCTAGTATTTTTTTTTCTTCCTATTTTTGTTCCTTGGGTTTATACTTTATACAAAACACCGCCTAGATTTTATCAACTGGACTGAAATAGTCTAGCTTTAAGAAGCCAAATCTTTGGGCACAAAGCCAAATCCTCGAGTTTTTCCTATCCTAATTTCTTACTTTAAGTAAATTGACTTTTTGGTGTATTGCTTTTGAGAAAGCAAGGTAAGAAGCTAGAGTAGGTATTTTTATGGCTGATGAGTAATGACAGGCGGCAATTTAGTTAATTTAAAAAGAAAGCAAAACCATTTGATTATAAGATTATGTTAGTGGCTAAATATCCATTCAATGGGAAGTTCCTTTCAGGAAAGTTTAGTTTGATTCAAGGTTGATCACTGTTATAACTTATAAGATACTCTACTCCTCTTTATACAACAACTACCAGCTTCTAATAGTAAGAAAGGATGATGAATAATTTAATTGCAAAATAAATAAATAAATAATCCTTGGCATATACGTAGCGGTGAATTCAAGATTTTTAAATTATGGACGCTCAACTATTTTTAATCTAAAAACTACTACTAAGATTGGATGCTCAATTAATATATAAGTTTGAATTACTAATTTTTTTATATTAGTATTAGTATGTGGCTACAAAATAGATGGGTGCTTGAGCACATATAAGACATAAAATAGATCCACCACTGCAGTACATTAGTAGTTGTTACGATCGGGAACCCCGATAGTACGGAATTTAGTCAAACAACGGTATAATGACAATAATAAAGACAATGGAAGTTGATAATAACAGCAATTAAAAAATATAAAGAAGACACAAATTTAACATGGTTCGGTCAAGGTGACCTACGTCCACAAGCGGAGAGGAGCAATTTTACTATAACAACAAGAGTACAAAANGAACAGAGACTTTTCTTTCAGCAATGGTTTCTCGGATGAAATGATACTTTATATCAATGTGCTTCGTCCTCTCATGATACATTTGATCTTTAGTCAAGTGAATGTCACTTTGACTATCACAAAAAATGATAATACCACCTTGGTGTAAACTGAGTTCCGCAAATAGACCCCTTCAACCATAAAGCTTCTTTGATCGCCTCGATCACTGCCATATATTCTGCTTCGGTAGTAGATAAAGTTACTACATATTGTAATGTAGCTTTCCAACTAATAGCATAACCACCGATGCAAAATACATAGCCTGTCAGTGATCTTCTTTTGTCAAGATAACCTGAATAATCTGAGTCTACAAAACCAACCAAAGTGTTAGTATTTCTCCCAAACTCCAAACATATGTTTGAAGTACCTCCCAAGTATCTGAGAATCCATTTCACAGCATGCCAATGTGCTTTACCAGGGCAAGCCATATACCGGCTTACCACGCTCACTCCTTGTGAAATATCTGGACGTGTACAAACCATTACATACATAATACTGCCGACTGCACTGGAATAAGGAACCTGTGCCATGTACCTCTCTTCTTCTTCTGACTGCGGGAACTGAGCAGCTGATAACTTAAAATGAGCAGCAAGAGGGGTACTAACTGGTTTAGAATCTTTCATGTCAAACCTCTCCAAGACTTTCTCCAAGTACTTCTTTTGGGTCAGAAATAGCCTGTTGGCTTTTCAATCTCTTTTGATCTCCATGTCAAGGATTTTCTTAGCTGCTCCCAAATCTTTCATCTCAAATTCACTTTTCAGCTGACTTTTCAAATTGTGAATTTCTATTAAATCCTTAGCAGCAATGAGCATGTCATCAACATATAATAATAGGTACACAAATGAACCATCATTTAACTTCCGGAAATAAACACAACTATCATACATGCTCCTCGAATAACCATGACCCAACATAAAGGAATCAAACTTTTTATACCATTGTCTTGGAGATTGCTTTAATCCGTACAAGGATTTCTTCAACAAGCAAATGTGATCTTCTTTTCCTTCAATTTCAAATCCTTTGGGTTGATGCATGTATATTTGTTCCTCAAGTTCGTCATATAAGAAAACTGTCTTAACATCAAGTTGTTCTAATTCTAAATCATACATGGCAACGAAGGCAAGCAAGACACGAATAGAGCTATGTTTAAGAACATGTGAGAAA